ATATTAACCTAAAGAAACTAAAAAGTTAAAAACATTTGTGTTTGCAGGAGCAGTAGCGGATCTAGGGGGCGAAGAAGATGTCTTATAATGTACACAAGCGCGGAGTAAATTAACTAATCAAAGCTCGAAAAAAAAGTTTGTTTCGAGGATTAACTACTAATTTAGTCACTTCTTGGTTTGGCCAGCACATCAGTCAAATTCCGAAACAAGAATCTATTTTGGGGTTTGACCATGGTCAATGACCAATGGTTATATCAAGAAAATACCAGTTATTTCGGTGTTTGACTATATTAACAAACTGATCGTGTGGTTAACAGAACTTCTAGTAGAACAGAACTTCTAGTAGAACATAACTTCTAGTAGAACATGATTGGAGATTTTTTTGCACCTTAACTTAAAGAATTAAATTTGGGTCATTAGCCAAATCATTTTAGATTTTTTTATTAAATAAATTTACAAGGTAAAACTTTTGACACATTATATTGTCCCCCGCGTAGTTCATGAAGGAATCCTGTTTTTCCTCATTAATTAATTAATTAATTAATTATGGACGTCCTTGGATTTTGCGTTTTTGTCTATTTGTACGTTTATTTTGCAAGTAATAAATTTGTATTTATATTGTAAAGTAGGGATAACTCACTGTATAGGGCCTATTTAATTATTAGGAATAGATATAATGCAACAAAAGGAAGTTAAAATGCCAAAAATAATAATAATTGTTGAATAATGAAAATATTACGGAAGCAACGAAATAAAAAAAGGTTTTTAGTACATTAAATAGCTTTTAAGTAAGTTATATTTGCCTTGGTAAATATTTCCTCTCGCCCGTACACAATAACAAACCATTTTTACCTTTTAACTATTCATCTTTAATTTTGAAAGTAAGGTTTTTAGACAAACAATTTCTAAAGGCGTTATTAAACTCTTATTTCCTTAATTTAAAATGTAAAACAGTAGAATGCCCTTTTAAATTTAAATCCATTAACATAAGGATATTTTAAGCCTCGATAATTAAAGCTATGTACATATATTTATATTACTAGACCATATGTGATGAGCTTATAATAAAGCTAAGAGTCTTTGTACAAAGTCTCATGCATAGTATTTACTTAAATTATCTTTGACCATCAACATATTTTGCATAATATCAAATACCCCAAATATGTAGACTTATTTTCGGATAAAGCTACGTATTCCTTTATAAAAATTTCCAATTCCCAAATTTTAGAGTTAAACCCAAAGAGATCATATGATGACATTATTATATTTGTTTAGGATTATTTGGGTCAATTAAAATTGTTGGATGTTAATTTAAGTTCCATCATCACAAGTAGTTGTAATAAACTTTAAATTAATGAAGTAATCTTCAACTATACGGTTAAAATTTACTTCAGGTTACGCTAAGTTATAGAAAGACTTCGTAGCATACTGAAGGCATGTTAATATATTAACTTGTCACTTCGTTTAAATACAATTACTAACTATAATAATAAAATGTAATAACTATGTACAATGGGTAATTTTTAATTTTGCTTAATGCATTTTTAAATTTGATTTTTACAACATAAGCAATACAAAGTAAATCATATTTGGCAAATCCAAAAATTACGGATTTTGACACAATTTCAGGTTATACTGTTGCCCTAAAATTAAAAGCACTTTTAAAGTCAAATACCAAATTTATTTGTATTTTTTACAATGGTCATAATATTTTTCTTAACATTTTTTGTTAAAATACAATGTATTTTGAGAAAAGACTTATGGAGAACTTTAATTTAACAATCGACATAATCGTCCTCTATAACAAACGATTCGGGAAATAATTTTAAACTTTTTGATGTTACTTGATAAAGTTCACCCAGCAATTCCTAAAAACGTGTACACTGGAGAAAATATCGTCTCCGTTAAGAAAATCAGCGAGACCAACGTTCAACGTTATGTGGAAGTTGATTTTTTTATTATCAGTCGTTATCAATAAGAAAAACACCTTATCAATAAAAAAATTTCTTAGCGACGCGTTCTTAGAAGTTAATTCGTATGCGATTTTTAATTTAAAAAAATCTAATTACCTTGATTACGCACTGATCGCAACATTTGGACATGGCATTTGCCTGTTCATTTATGTAAAATTGTAAGTTAATGTCAGATCTTTCAAGATCCAGAATCCAGAATGTCTAAGCATCGTGAATGCGTTGAACAATACTTTAATTAAAGGAGACGTTTCGTGATTGAGTTATTTTGCGAAATGGTTATTTGGTTAAGATTTAAAATAATTTGACAGTTTTTCGAAAATCTGCTGCCAAGTCAAAAGCCACTAGAGCTCGAAGGGCTTAAATGTCTTTTGCCAATTGGCAACCATTTTGAGAAAAGGTCTGGAGAATTATTTTCAATTTATCTCTTGTGTACACAGGGGTCCTGAATGAGGCATAGGTCACATAAAATGGCGTCAAATCTGAATGCGCTATCGGAATAAGGACCCTCTCTAGAGTTTAAAAACATTTACATTTTAAATTGTAGGTGATCCTTTTTTTTAATTTTGGAAGTTAATTCAAATACCAACTGTAATTTAGTTACCTACTTATTTAAGATTTTTTTCGAATTTCTTTAAAATTGAGCCCTTTAGAAAAAAAGAATTAAAGACAGCAAAATTATCCATTAACTGATGCTTAAACAACCGCAACCATTGGCGTAGATATATTTTTTTAAATCACAAAATGTTTAAAAACCTGATGTTTTAGCACATTAATCGCTGAAACCATATTTCACAAAAAAGGACAACAGAAAATGGTTTATCTATTAAAAAACCACATATTTAAAAAAAATCAGACCCCCTAAATAAATTGAGTACCTAAGTAATGTATGTTCAGTTAAGGTATTCGCTTACGCAATTATAAAACTATCAGTTACTCACATTAAATTTCGAACAAGGAGTAAATAAAGAAATCTAGTTAGCCATCACCTATGCCAGGCAACACTTTTGCCTACGTATTTTGGAACGGACTAGTAAAACTTCTGGAAAAAGAACAGGCGTTAAGATGGCCTAAAACACTGAATTTGGTCTCTAAGAACTACCAAGGTGACATATTTGAGGGAAATGCATGTTCCGGAACATCCTGACACTCTTCTAACAAAACCAATGTCCCAATTTAAGACTATGGATGAATTAGTTGAGAATTATTTTTCCACAAAAACGCCAAATTTCGACTAAATAAAAATTTACAAACAAATATTATTAGTTATGTTTAAAGCTGCTGATATATCTAAAACTTTAAAAATTCATGTACTAATTAATCACTTGGAAGAATGTCCACCGCGAGTTTATAAAATTTTTAAATACAAGATAAACAACATGGCACATCCTAACTTCAAAGAGTAGTTAAAAAGTGCAGTTGTAGAGTTTACATCAAAAAATATTTAATGCTTTTTCTCATGTTGATAACATTACCTTGATTAATAAATAATATTTGACAAGTACTTACTTGTCTTTTTTGTTTTATATAGGTTATATTTGTTTAAAGAAAAATGATGCTGCAATGTTGAAAGTAACCTATGACAGGTTATTCACAAACATACCCAGTTAAACATAAAAAATTCACGACTACTTCCATGGATTTCGTAGGCCAATATTTTAGGCATAATTAAAGAGGCATGATTTAATAGATAATTAAGTTACCTTTATTTCCTTATTCAAACATTTTTTCCAAAGGCCTCCGTTTTAAACATAATATCAAAAACCTAAAATAAATCACCAAATAACGTTTGATATTTGGATTATTAGGCAAAAAAGGAAGAGATACAATTTTGAAAAACATATTTTTAAACTTAAGAATACACCCTTATTCCAATACTGCAGTCAGTTTTTGGCGTCATTTTTGTGACCTATGACTCGTTAAGGACCACTGTGTGTAGTATTCGTTGGATTATTTTTAACGTAACAACAATGCTATAACAATGAACAAAGGTGAAAAAAATACTTAGTTACATTACAAATTATGTAGATTATTTCCAACATAATGCTTTGATTGGCTAAAACATACACAGATGACTAAAATTGGTTTTTGAAACGTCAAAAAATTATATATTGAAATATACATATTTTAAAAATTATCCCGAGTCAAAGACGAGGATTTAGTTTAACCTCGCGCAGTATTCGGTAAGAAATTTCCACACCAAATTATGTTTAAAATAAAATCATTTTCAAATTATATTTTTTGACTTTTAACAATGCCTATTTTTTTTGACAAGACTCCACCATGATTTCTACTTATTGTAGTAGCACAGAAATGACATTTTAAGACTTAAATTCTCGTACATTCTTTAATTTTTTATAAACTTTGAGTTACTACAAGTGGTAGAAAATTGCTTTGGAATATTTTATTTAAATTACTCAAAATTGAAAGTACTAAATGTAAAAATGGTAAATAAAAATATCAGATAGATAATTCGATTGCAAGTCCAGCTTTTTCGCCTTTAAGAAGAAAGGAGGTAGCAGAAGAATACTGAAAACATTTTAACCATGTAATTTAAATGTATCAAAATTAAATAAAGAAATTACAACTAATATTGTCAAAAAAATAATTTTCTGATTCGCTTTTGGTTACCTACCCAAGCGAAAAAAATGTCCTTAAAAATACATGTGTGGCCATGATGACCTGTCAAAAAACCCATTTTGATTGGTTAAAAAGTACTGGTGTGGAATTTTCTATTAAATCACCAAAATCTACTAACTCGCCATTTAACCTTGTCACCATTGATGTTTCTTTAACATTTAAACTTGTCGTTAATAACGATTCGTTATTTAATTTGTCGTTCTTTTAACTTAAAGTCCCTGATTTAAGAAAAAACTTTAAGAGCACAAAGAAATACAACCGTTAAGTACGTTAATTGGTGTTAAATGTAAAATTCTTACAATAAATAGTTATTCGACTTAAAATTGCCACTTAATTAGGACTTTATATACATACAAAACTTATTTACACTTACTTAATAAAAACACGATTTTATCTAAGTTTACCTGACCTATAGTTTCTAGGGTGTCTCGCTCCACCGCACAACATCCTCTTGAAAGCCTGTCTGAACTCGGGATTGAAAATCGTGTAAATAACTGGATTTAACGTTGAATTAAAGTACCCCAACCAAAGCGCAAAGCTCATGATAAAATCACTTATTGCGCACGCTTCTCCGCACAGAGGCATTACCAACGCGAGTATGAAAAACGGAAGCCAGCACATCACGAACGCGCCTGTTATTATGGCTAAAGTTTTGGCCGCCTTGCGTTCGCGTTTGGCTTCCAGGCTCTCTTTTTTCTCGCGCCTTGAAGGAATGAGTTTGTCCACTGATGCGGGACACGGCGGGATTTCCTTGGCGAGCATCTCAACGCGGCTGATGTCGCTGATGTGGCTCTGGTGGCTGGCGGAGCCGTTATTTGTCGTGCCTGTGGGGAGAGCTAAATTTTAAATTATTAAATTTTGAGGAAACTGTATTTGATTTTAATAAAAAATAAATAAACAGGATGAACCACGGACAACGAAAACCCTATTAACTACGAATTCCTTAATAAATTATACACTGTTTAAAATATCTGTGGTGTAAAGAGTAATCTTAAAATGGTGTCAAAATCCAACACCAAGTGGTGTTAATATAAATACCATGAATTATGGTTGAAAATGTTATATACAGCAAACACCAAAACGGTGTTTATCTAAAAATATTTGAGAAGTTCATGCACTACACAGAAAAAAAGGAATAGTTCATTTAACTATATTAATTTAGTTGACCGATAAGTATTTATTTAAATCAACTGTGGGAAGGTTAATATAAACAAAGATTAGTTTTAAAATGGTTACATTAACCCAAAAAACTTTAGTGAAACCAACCCGCTGCAGTTGGTTCAGTTTACTAAATATGTTGTTTGTAAAAAAAGAGTTACTTTAACCTAAAGCACTCTGTTAAAACGATTAAAACAATTTGGCGTGCATTCCTGGTTGCATAGTGTGTACCGATCGCGGCAAAGGCGGTGTGGATCACGTAATGTTCTTAAATCTCGTTGTTCGATACTAAAGAGACCTTAAATAGGTGGAAACAGCTGTCAATACTTGAAGTATTTTAAGTTGGTGGAACGCACTAAAAACATTATCTCTAGCGAGTTAAAGGTTTAATTTTCTGGAATAATACCACTGGTAATATACTAGTAATGCGTCAAGGAACTTCCTGTTTCCTTTTTTTCCTTTTTTTCTGTGTAGTATGATTTAATTTCACCAAAAACACATAATATTTAACACTGAAAAGGAGTTCAATTTACACCAGGTAAAATTTATTTTAATACTGTGTGAAAGTTAAATTTACACTATTTAGGTATTTGAATTTACACTGGACCAACAACCATATTTAACACCATTTTGGTTTGTATCGATATAGACCATGTATGGTGTTAATTTGGTGTTAAAATGGTCATGAAATTTTGGACAGTGTAAGAAAATTTTGGCTTTTCCAAAAGTTTTAAAATAAATCAAGATAGGTACAGCACTTTCAAGCAAAAAATCAAAGCGCAGCTAGCCATGAGAGTGTCAACAAGCAAATATTATATGCAGCTAACTGCCAGGGCCGGATTAAGGCAAACGGGGGTTTGGGGCTAAAAAATGAAGGGGCCCTAAAAGTTCTTTATTAAAAAAATGCAATGTTTAGTATTAATAATATTAGATATTAATTTTTGGGGTGAAAATCCCCAAAAATTTTCCAAAAATAATTTTAAAAAATGTAAAAACTAAATAAATTGTTACCTTGACAGCAACTTTCAAAAATGCTTCCCAAATTTTAGAAATTTTAAAACCAGGTAGATTCACGGAATTCGTAGTGTGTAGTGGGCATCTTATTTAAAGGCTTGCACTACTATTTTTTTCGACAAGCCTTCTTTTCTTATTTCGGGTCACATATACAGGTGTCTTTAGATGGGGTTGCCAATAGGAAAAACTTTTTTACGCATAAGCGTTTACGAAAAAAAGTCATTTATAACAAAAATTCGTTATTTAAAAATTGATTTAAATAAAAAAATTATGAATTAAATGAACATGGTGCCCAGAAATTAGGAAAATTGCTTTATTTATTAATAATAATAATAATAATAATAAAACATCTTTATTGGGGTTCCCATAAGGCTATCGACCGTGGTCTTTCTGCCCAGTTTATACAATATCATTAATTTCAGTGTTTGATAGTTATAAAAAAAATTTAAAGTGTATACAAAAAAAAGAAATGTTAACTGAATATTAATTAATTAATTAAATATATTTTGGTCCTCGTCAATTTCTGCGATTACATATATCCCATAGTGTTTTAAAAGGGTATTTCCTTTTGGTAGGCAGGTTCTGGTCTCTACTTTGCATTAAATTATTTAACAATTGTACGTTGTGGGACTTTTTTGCAAATTGTCCTGTCAGCTCTTTGAACCGTTCCAAGATGGGTGTGATCTGTTGTGTTGTTTCATATAGAAGTTGATTTGATGGATTTTGAAGTGGATTATCAGGGCCTCATTTTAGTGATAACAGTAGTTTTTTTTACAATTAAGATATATTGGAAAAGCATATTCAATAATGGGTCTGCATATCATTTTGTAGATCTTGACCGCTGTTTCGAGTTGTATGATACAACTTGTATCCCCTTTTTTTTATATGTAAGCCATCTAAAGGGTTTGGCTCTAGCTATCATATTGGTTTTCATTAGATTTGTATGTATATTAAAATTGAGTTTGTTGTCCACGTCTATTCCAAGGTATTTGCAAACCTTTGATGGCTGAATTTATTGGTTAAAGATTTGAATGGTTGGGGAAGTTATACTGATTTTGTGATTGAATATTGTTTTGTTTTGTTTTTTTGGGATTTGGTTTTGTTCTCCATGGAAAAAAACTGGATTGTATTATGGCAGAGATTTTGCAAATGGAGCATGGTGAGCTTTACATTTTTGTGGTGTGAAATTAATGCTTTGTCGTCTGCGAATTCTAATTTATATGTTTTGGGATTTAACTGTTGATAGTAGATGTTTAACTAGACTTGGTCTATTTTTTAGAAAGTCATTTATAATGTGAATGTATTTTGGACAATTTAGGGTGTTTAGTTTGTATAATAGATCGGCATGCCAAACACTATCAAATGCTTTGCTAAGGTCAATAAAAAGTGCAACTGATTTGTATCCTTTTAAGCTGTTGGTTTGAACTTTGGAAGTGAGAATAAGCATTAGATGGATTGTGGAAGAATTTGGTCCAAAGCCGAATTTATGAAGTGGAATCTCGTCTTCAAGTTCTTCTGATAGCCTTAATTTGAATATTTTTTCTGGGAGAAGATTAATAGGCGAAAAGTTGTTTGCTTTTGTAAGGTCACAATTCGGTTTGGGTATGTTTATAATAATACCTTTTTTAAAATTCTGGTGGGTAAAAAAAATTCAGTAATTATATATACATTATATACCTAGGTATCGATATTTATTTATTATTATTTTTTTAATTATAAAAGAAAGTCGATAACAATTGAATTTCAAGTATTTTTAAATTTTATTTTATTTTTATGATAAGTAGGTGTTTGTACAATTGGCATGCTTACAAAAGTATAAATAAAGAATAAACAAAAATTACCAAAAAAAAAGTTATTCCACAGTCTTCGAATGAAATCTTCATGAGCATTAATAATTCTAAATGCTTTTTAAATTTAAACGACTTATTTGTTTTATGATTTTTACTGAATTGAAATGTTTACAATTTTCACGTAAAGCATTACTAAAATGTGTATTTATTGTATCTAATATGTATAATTTATATTTAGGGACTGTATTCTTTAGTCGGATTTCCACTCTTTATTGGGAAAACGGTAAAAACTCAACCCAGGAAAAACTTAAAGTTTTATTCATAATCTGATTCATAGTCCTAATCATAATGAAGCTCATTCCAGTGGAACTTTTTTTTCTTTTTTTTTTCTGTTTTGTTCTTTGATGTACTAGGCGCGGTTTCTTTTTTCTCTTTAGGTAAATTATTTAGGTTTTCTTTTTTTTGTGTGTGCCAAGTTTATATAAAAATCATGATTTACAGGGGAAATAAATCCAAGTCATTGTTGCAGATTTTGCCTCTTTAAAAATTTAATTTTAATTCCTTCTGGGTAAAGTTCTGTAAAAGACAATTTTGCTGGTCTACCAAAGGAAAATATTTTACAATTTTCTGATAAAGAAAATAATAGAAAATCTAACGTTGTTTTAATCAGCCTGCACTTGGGCGGTTTTAGAAATAAACGCATGCTAACTTCTGTTCAGTGTTTTTTCTTCCGCTCATAGATGAAACCAAAATCAGAATAATCATTTAGGTTATTTTTGAAACAAATAAAACAAAATTTCTACTATCCAGTAGGACGCTTAGGGTACTTTGACCTAAAAATGCACTTGGGCGGTTTCAGCTCTAAGCTTGTAGACATTTTATCTTGTCTATTTTATTATTGTATTTAATAACAACTGGCTTGACATAATATTGTTATTATTTGAAATTGTCAGCTTGTCCCTAATTAGCTTCTCAATATTTTGAATTGTCATCATTAAAGCTTCTCGTCATATAAGCTTATCATTACTTTAGCTGGACATTGTTTAAGCTTCTTGATGTATAAACTTGTTATTATTTTAGGTTGTCAGGATTTCAGCTTGTCATTATTTTAGCTTGTTACCATTTAAGCCCATCATCAGTTAAGCTTGACATCATTTTAATTTAATATTGTCATTGGTTTAGCTCGTCGTTATTTAAGCTTGTTATCATTGCAGCTTGACTTTATAAAATATTGTCTTATTTTATGTTACCATTTGAGTTTTGAGTATTTAAGCAGGTCATGATTTTATCATCATGTCATTATTTAGCTTAAGGTTGAAAAAATTAAAATAATTTAAATACATTCGTACGTTAAATAATATATTAACTTAATTGCGCTGGTTTTTATGTTTATGTTTATTGCCATTTAAATCTTTAATTATATTTGAAATGTACATCCACTTTGATATGGATTATATTAATTTAAATTCGTATATATATTTATTATTATCGTACTGCTATTAAATATATTTTGTAGTCATGCAATCATATTATAAATTAGATTTTAAATAAAGATTTATTTCAATCCCATTACCGTGATATTTACATTGGTAAGAGATTTATCAATTAGTTAAGTTTAATTCCGAAATGTTCAGGAAAGGTTACAATTTTATAACTGTGCTCTAGACTGGGCCAAAAAAATCGACTATTTTTTTTTGGAAAGTATATCGAAAATATTGTTTGGGGTGACAAAAAAAAATTATGGTGAAAGTTTGAGTCCATAATATTAATATTAAGAGGTCTATCATCGCAATTTTAGATTTTTTTTTCCTGAGCGAGTTTTTGTCTCAGAACTCCCAAATCATTAAGTTTAACAAAATTGACTTAAGAATATTTTTTTAAGAAAATTGAAGGTTTCATTGGAATTTTCCGTCAGATGAACCCTTCTCTTACAATCATGCCTTAAAAATTGGTATAGTTTTACAATTTGATCTTTTAACTTTGGAATTTTGTAATTCAAGTAAAAATCAGTACCCTGAAAAAAGTCTTTTATCATTTTTGGCTAAATTCTCTCCATCAAAAGTTATTCAAGGTTAAATTTGAAGTCAAAACGAAAATTTAACCTAGAATAACTTTTGATTGAGTGAATTTAGCCAAAAATGTTTTTTTGTAAAGCATTTGATTTCCCATAAGAATATTTATCGGTTTTTTATGGGTACTTATTTTTACATGAATTACAAAATTCCAAAGTTAAAACATCAAAATATAAAACTATACCAATTTTTAAGGCATGATTTTAAGGAAACGGTTCATTTGACGAAAAATTTCACTTTAACCTTTTTTGTAGAGAATTTAATTTTCTTAAAAAAATATTTTTAAGTCAATTTTGTTAAACTCAATGGTTTGGGAGTTCTGAGCCTAAAACTTGCTAAGGAAAAAAAAATTAAAATTGCGATGATAGACCTCTTAATATTAATATTATGGACTCAAACTTTTACAATAATTTTTTTTTGTCATCCCAAACCATATTTCCTATACTTAAAAAAAAAATTAGTTGATTTTTTTGGCCCAGTTTACTGTGCACACATGTGTTTAGCGATAGAAACTTTTTATAAATACCTGTAGACGATTTTTCCGGGGAAACATTATTGGAAACAACCGGGACCTCCGAAACCGTGCTGTTCGGAACCTGGTGCTGCTGGGTGCTCGGCTTGGTGATAGTAAAGGCGGTCGTTTCAACCACCTGTTCGCTACCGCCTCCGCTGACGCTGCTCTGTTGTTCGTTCTCCTCCTCCACCACGTCCATCGTGGTGGTCGACTGACCTTCCATCATCACCAGGGAGTTGACCAGGGCTTCGGCGGCGGAAGACTTTTTGCTGCTGGCCGATTTTTTCATCCGAAGGAATTTTCGGTTGGCGAGGAAGCTTTTAGGAACTCGGCTGTTATTGTTGGTGCGTTCAACCTTAAAATTATAGATAATTTTAAATTATGTGAAATACCTTTTAAGAACAACTACAATAAAATAATGTTTTTAAAATGAGAATACCTTATTTAATTTGTTTTTAAAATGGGACTACTAGGCTAATTTTAAATTAATAATAGTTATTTATGTCATTAGGTTAAGAAGTAAGGCTTTTTGTGCTAAGCTCAAGGTTTGCAGGCCGACGCGTAGCGGAGGCCTACAATTGAGCGAATCACAAAAAGGCACTTCTTGGCCGAATGGCATACAACATTTTATCTTCAAAGCACTTTATATAGGTCAATTTAATTCAACATCAAAGCGGCCTAACCTCACTTTTTTAGAAACTTATTTATTTATTAGCTAAAGATTACATTAAATGTAAAATAATTATTATTGCTTTTAGAAGCAGTAATAGTTTGACAATACCTAGCTACATGATTTAAGTAGAATTGGATTTTTGCTATTACATTCAATTCAATTAATTGTTTAATAAATAGGTAGGTATCTAATTAAAATTTTTTGGATTTTTATTTAAAAAATAGGTAGTTTGGAATGTTTAAGCTGTGTTTAACATTTAATTTCACTGAAAACTTAAAGCAAATTAAAACTTAAAGATAATTTAAATCGTAGAAAAAGAATCGTGCGTTTTCTTGGTTGCCTAACCTCACTTTTTGTTTTAATATTCATATTTAATTTTACAATAATTTAATGAAAAATATTAAACATTAACAGTAAAACAAACAAATTATTGCTTATTATAAATAAATTAAACCAGTTTACTACGTTAATTTCTTAGAAAAGGATTAATTTGTCAATTTGTAGCGAGAAAAAATCGAACTAATTACTTGCCTCATAAAATTTTTTATCGGCCTAGGCCATAACAAGGTATTTCTTTATCGAATGTTGACAACAATAAAGTTTAAATTATAGACCGCGTGGAGATAAAATATAGTATTAATCATAAACCTTACATGTTCACCAAGCAAAAAAATTAAAATCATGATAAAGTAATCATATTCCAAAAATTACATTACACCGTGACGTCAATTTTCTGAAATGCATTGCTTCAGCCGTTCCTGGTAGTATAACATCAATTAATGGCTGTGGAGTCCCAGACAGCACAGGATATTCTAAGAATATTCTCTAAATCTACTTAATAGATTGAGAATATTTCTAATATGCTTTTAACATTCAGAGAATATTCATGTCTATAAGTTACGTTTATTTCAGTATATATCCCAGGCACATGCATAATGTATTTGCTGATCATATTCATTTTGGTATATATTTTTTGGTATATTTTTACAATATTTTACTAATATTCAATTGTTCAATTTTTTATTTATTCTTATTGGTCTAACTGAATCGGTGAGATTAAGAACAATCCAAGTTCATTTTTTTTTAAGTTGTTTCTGATTTTTCTTAAATTGATAATTTACAACGAAAAATTGATAAATAAAAAAATGGACTTGTTTCACGGTGTATAAGCCCGTAACTTGTACTGTTCTTAATTTTACCAATTCAACTAAATTTGACCAATTTAATATTACTAGAATGTTGTAGGAACATATTCCATCTTCATTTCGATATCTACCAGTTACCGAAATGCGCATGCGCTAAACGTACTACCGGGTGGCTTCACACGAGATTGGCAGATTTGGCTTTTTTTCCTTTCTTCATCGGCCATTGTTTGTGCGTGTTTCGCCAGTGAAAGTTTGTTTAGATAATTAAAAGTTTGCCTAGATAATTACTTCCTATAGGAAGATATATCTGCTGTGGTGCATCGCCCTTTCATCTCTGGGACATTGCTCGACGAAAAAGTGAAACATAGCTGACTTTGACCCAGAGGGACAAAATTGGATTCCGGGTATAGAAATATACCTGTATTTTTGGACAATTTCGCAAGCTTTGACCTTCTAGTGAGGTATTTTGTGATTTGTACAATACATTGAGTGGATGATCCAAAATTTGGAAAATTCACGTGTCTATGGGTGGATGGCTTCGTGAAGCTTGTTGCTGGGCATCAAGGAAGAAGAAGAAGTCTGCTACAAACTTCACAGAGAAAAGTAATCTCTTGATTTAAGAAAATGCATTTATTGGAAACAGGTTTTCTTGTATGAAGTAAAATTTGGTTGTAAATCATAAGTTTCTTGAAAACAACTTATTGTTGTGATTAATTGTAAAGAATTATTTATTTAGAGCAATTAATTAAATTGTTTGGATGTGGGTTTTGTTTCTTTAAGTAAGCTTGAGTAAACCTGAGATAAAAAGTCAACTAGATATTTACTTGTATTAACCAAATATCAGTTTCAAAAGTCAAATAAACCCAAGTTTTTCACTAAATAAATATCTTCTTCTAGATATTGAAATAAATAATTTATTTGAGCCAAGCCAAATAAAGTAAAATCAAGAGATTACTTTTCTCTGTGTTTAAGTATTGTTGTTATTTGTAACTGTTTTGTGGAGACATGTGCAGTGCTAAAGTTCGATAAAAACGTTCAATTGAAGAATATTGAAATGTTCGTGGGCCAATGTCTAGCCAAAGCGCCAGAACGGAATAACGCAGTAAGGAATTTTTAAAAATATTGTTTTTGTTTTAACTATTGTTTTTAAAGCTGGCGACGATCCAGACGATTAGGAGGTCTAGTTTCGGTTGGCTATTTTTGAAAACTCCACCTTTTGTTAAAAGGACGATTTTTTTTATAACAATTAATTTTAACATTTTTTATCATATGCTACTTTTTATATCACAACCATATCCATATCCAAATATACCAGGAATAACCAAAAAACATTCGTTTGGTAATATTCCCATGAAATGTTGGATCATATTTTAAGAATATTCTAAAAATATTTAGATCTGCTAAAAACATGCTATGCACATTCTCAAGAAAATATTCCAGGTATATGATATTTGATTATCGCTTGAATATCCCTGTTATATTCCGAATATGGCGATACTGAACGCCTTGGACAGACTATATAAATAAGCTTCTTGGGCTTCTTTGGTTATATCTGAAATATAGAAATATAATCTTTTTATACTTCTTCCATTTTGACAATTTTTGACTAATTAAAGTCTGTCCAAGATTCATTTGCAATTGCGGCTAAGAAATTTAAATCTTACGTAAGAGAAAGAATTTGGGAAATTCAAAAAATGGAGAAAATGGAAGAAATAAGAAAGGATGTGTTGCTGGCAAGGTTTTTACATTCAATATTAATGTAAAATTTAATCTAAATAAATAAATAGTGAATTCTGACGCATTTTGTTTCATAAAACACTAGTGTCTTGAAATATAATATGTTTCGATATACACATTTAATTTTTTCCCGTATTTTCGGCCGGGTTGGGTTGGGTTGTATTTTCGGCCGGGTAGCAAGAAAAATAGTGTACACTACACGGGCAGAAAGTGTCATGGCGCGCAGTGCAGGAATTTCACACTTTCTGCCCTTGTAGTGTAATATACTATTAATAATAAACCACGGCTGAACCACATTTTATTAACATGTAAGAACATACAGGATTCGTATGTTAATATTATTTGTCTGGCATCTTATTAAGAGCAAAACCAAAAACAAAATAATCTAGGGGGCGCTTTTTAAAAAACATTTACATGGGTAATACAAAATACAAATAAAAAAATCGTAACCCAAAATAATTAATAATACCTTTAAGATAAGTACATAAATCTTAATAATACTAAGAATAAGGGGCAAATTTTTAACGTGATAGCACGAACACAGCATGATTTTTAGGTGTTACCGAAACTTCCAAATCCAAAAATCTTAAAAATTAGCGAAGGACTGTTTCAAGCTTGTATCAAGAAGTAAACCGAAACAGGGTTTTACAATTAATTTAATCTTTTCCAGTGAAAAAATTTCAAACAACCAAGAGAACGTGTTGCTAGTTAAAGATCAAGTTATTTCAATAAGGTTTTACGCTCTTTTTACGTACTTAAGGTAGTTGTCGTGGTACAATATTGTCAACAATTTTTAGATTATACGCACCGTAAAAGTATACGAGCTTGTAGCTGGCAGTGATTCATAATTTATTCGCAAGACTGTACCCTGGAGACGTTACCTTTACGTAATACTTTCAAATATTTTCATAAGTTTTAATCCGGCAAAGTCGCTTATGCTCAATCAATAGATATATTGGAGACTGAATCACTGTTTGAATTTACTGCGGAAATAATATCTATACTCGCGTTCAGCGTTGCCAAGTTGTTTTTATCTGACACTAGTGATGTATACTTTTTACAAATTGTTGAACTTTAAACGGTTATTTATAAACAATTGGACGGTCAAAAATTTTTAATTATTTTTTTTTAAACTCAGCAAAAATACATTAAAAGACTTAGTTTTTTGAAAGCTTCTGACAGTTAGTTTTTTTTTATAACTAAGAAACTGGTACAGAACTACAGAAAGCGTATACAATCCATGTTAATTATCCAATTTTTAATTGAATTTATCTCGGGTTATAGACGGTCAATCGACTTCAAATTTTAAGGATAATTGTATTGTCATGTCCTTAATATGCATACAAAAATTTAAAATTTTCTGATGGTATGCTTACAGCACGACAACTACCTTAATTAAACCGTCCAAGTTTTTGCAATAAACAACATATTGTGTTACATTACGTTGGCATTGTTAGCTTTTATATTTATAAAATAAAACGATTTTACCTCAAAAAAATCGTCCAAACTGTGAATAGCGGATGAAAGTTTCTTCTTTAAATTGGACTCAATTACTTTTCGGTCACAACTAGCCAAACAAATCATTAATTCTATTCCAAACGTTGTATTTTGAGTCAAGTTAGAGCTTGTTTGAATATTCTGAATATCAATTGCAGAAATCTTGGGGTGTATACAGTTTTCTTAGTTGGGTGGATTAACAGAGATTTTCAGAGGCTTGTCAGCATACTCTGAGAGATAATGTGTTTTTTGTTTCCTCGATTGTTTTCTTTTAATACAGTTGCAGTAATTGCATTTTTTTGTAATTATTTGTTGCACTGATTATTGTAGATAAATAAACAAACTGTATGGAACTGTTGCACCTATGCCTTTTGCGAACAAATTTAAGCAAGTTTTGCATAATTTCATAATTCTTTGATATCTTTAAACTGCTTTGCTATTAGCCACAAGGTTATTGCCTGGAAAGTAAAATTTAATTTTATTATTTAGCCCTTATCCTTTATTAGGTATTTTAAATAGGATATAATTTTAAATCATAACCTTTATTGAATTCAAAATATTTGCTTGAGTATCATTTTTGAACAAATATTCCCTTGCAGTATTATACAAATACATACAATGTAACAGACTAGTTGATTTGTACAATATTGTGTTGTTGCATAAAACAGTGATAAATTTGACAGATCAATGGTTTCTTCACTGAAAGAAATATATACTAAAGTTAAATAAAAAAATAATTAGGGCAAATATATTTTATGTTTCATATATAGACTACCACATACATTGCTAAAACAAATATATTCGTTTGGTTAGCAGCCTATTGCTGCCCTAGCAATATAAATGGTGTTTCTAGCAATATTTTTTTGCTGTAATTCACTTATAGTTTACATTTTATAGTAAGGGTAAGTTTATTTTTATTTAGATCTAACATATCTTCTTTACAATAAATGTATTACAAAATTTACCATACATTCATAATAAACAGTAGTATAAATGTGTAAAGCACTAGTATAAAATTTTTAGTATAAATTTGTATTTACTTTTAGCAACAAATTTCTTTCAGTGTTGGCTTTCAATCTTTATCCGTTATAACTTTCATAAACATCGACTACCAATAGCGTTTGGCAATCCTTTATTACAAGCAGAATATTCAAAGACAGTTTTTATCATAACTTCAACTTTTTAAACATATTAAGCAAAGTTTTGCACTATGCGTTCCTACCTTTTTTACTTTATTTTTCTCCATTTTAAACTATAAACCACTTTTAATGACGGACACATTTACTAAAAACAACCGAAAGAGGTTATATAAACTTTATTAACTAATGGGGAATCAAAAAATACTTTTGTAATGGTTTTTATTTCTATTTAACTTAAGAAGCTCAATAATTTATTTATATCTTAAATTTATTTTATTAAAAGTAACTTTTTTCAAGAAGGCGCCCTAGACTTTATTCTTTTTGATCTTACAGCGTTATTAAGATGCCAGACAATTGGAATTAATTTACAAGAACATTTGAATAAAATTTGGTTTAGCCGCACCGTGAAGGGACAAAAAATGTTGTAATTGCAAAACCAAATGTTTCTTTTCTACTCGCGCAAAATTGTTCTTTTTTGCACGCAAATGGTTTAATAAGATTATAAAATCATGAAGCCTTACATTTTATTTTTCTACTCTGCCCTTGTAAAATAATACCAAATGTAAAAATTATTTTATTAACTCAATACAAAGATACTGAAAAGTTTATATGAACATTGTACTGACCTTTTAATTTTGCTGGCAGTAAACTAGATTTAACTTCGTGGAGACTCCACCGTGGAGTGCCAATAAAATAATTTCTTTACTTTCACTGTGAAAAACTGCTTCTTTTTCGGAGTACGGTTTCAAGGGGATACATTTAAATTTACACAAATTTGACATTTTACAGATTTACAACTTGGTTTCTTTATTGCCTTATATATGTCGCTCTATACAAATATTTAATTTAAATCATTTTTTGATATTAATAAGTATTTGTCGAGGAAAAAGTATAGTATGTAACTCTTTATAAACTTTTCTAGACACGAATTTAATTAAGCACTCGCTCTCAAGCTCGCTAGAGCCTAAACTAAATTCGTGTCCAAAATGGCGTGTATCAAACTTGATACATAATATACTATTTTAATTAAGCTTAAATGTAACATGATACCTTAAAACAAGAAATATTGTAAAAAGATTCATTTGGCTTGTCAGGATTTAATCTTGTTCTAATTTTAGTTTATCAAAATTTTATCATGTCATGATTTAGTTATGTATTTAGTCATCTACACAGAAGCGTAGCTACCGCGGTATTAGCCGTATTAATGATACGGGGCCCCCGGCTAGGGGGGGCCCCGATTGGCTTCGACATGCGTAAGCAAAAAACATATTACCTACATGTTAAAAAAATTGAGGCATAAAATTAAGTAAATAAATAATATTATTATTTAATTGTTTATACTTCGATTTATTAAATTAAAATTTTCCTGAATACCCTTCTGTTCCAACGAGGTCGTGAACTCATACGAATTGTTTCTAACCGCACCTTTCCGCTATGCGTTGTCTGCGGCTCAGTCTGCGCATACTGTTCTGTGTTATTATCATAGGTAATATTAATAGCAAATTAGAAAAAATTATCAGCGTTACAATTATTTCAAATGACTTGCCTTTATTTTAAAATAGGAACCTTTTAAAAGATGTTGAAGAACGGTAAATGTCTAAAACTAGACCAACTTTTAAAATTTGCCTGTACATAAAAAGCTATATATACATATCGTCCCTATTATCACATAAGGGCTTATCTCATATTTAACAATTTTACAGGGAATTTTAAAGATTGAAAGTTTTTAGCTAATTTAAATTATTTTTCTGAAAAAAAATTGCTACTAGTAATTAATACATTAAATGTAATACCTTGTAGCCATATACCTATAACTCTATAACTATAACTATAAGTTATAGGTATATGCTTGTAGCACATTTTTTTCTAAATAATAATTTAAGTTAGCTAAAAACATTAAATCTGTAAAATTGTTAAATATGAGATACGCCGTTATGTGATAATGGGGACGATATATTATTTATTAAATTATAAAAAATTGGTAAATGAAAGAAAAATGATACCCTAAAAAAAATTTTTTATTTGCCCAAAATAGACTTGGGGCGTGACACCCAGACATTTTTTTGCCAGCTGCTTTTCCCGTATAAGGGCCCCTACCAGATTTTTGATACGGGGCCCCCTCGAGGCTAGCTACGCCACTGCATCTACAGGTATATTCGGAGTATTATAGAACATTGTCAAACTTTTAAATTATCATGTTTTATTGAACTTAAATTATTGATTTTGTATTTATTTAAATTTATCTTCGCGATGTTAATTTTCTTGCATGGTATAATAAATCATAATATAGAAGCCTTATTGAAGCTTAATTTAATAAACTGCACATTGTCTGTGCTTAAATATTTGAAAATTAGGATAAATATCCGTAATAAATATTTATTTATTTAAGTTTGTTTTTATAAATGACAACTATTTTAAAATTAAATTTATCATCAGTCGTCGATTAATCACTGATATTAATAATATGCAAATGATATTTCAGATTTTGCTTTTATCGACTTTCTTAAATTTTAAAATTTATTACATTCTAAATTATAATTTACATAATTATAATGTATACATGCAAATTTGCATAAAATATCATTTATCAATGTACAAAAAGACATATTTAACTGATATAATTTAAATTTCAGATTGATATTTCTATATAAAACACATCATTTATCTAAACTAATGTTAAATTGATGAAATACGGAAAATAAATAAAAAAATGATAAAAAGTCTTTTTGATTATAAAAATTATTTTAACTCTACTATCGGTTTTTAGTTTTATACATAATCTAATATAACATAACATAAAATGTATGATACCTTTTCTAGGATGTGGCCCTTAAATTCCCTTCTTCTTCTAATGCGTTTCCTAGCAGTTTGAAATATTTTCCAATACAGCACAAAAATAACCAACAACGGCACATAGAAAGTTGAGCTAGTGGCAAAAATCTGGTACTTAACATCCTGACTGACCAGGCATTGTTGCTTGATTTCTATTCTATGTAAGTAGTCCGGATCTTTAAATTGTGGTATTTGTGGTGCCAGAGACACTACGAGAGCTATTAGCCACACTAATACGATCATGATGCTTATACGATTGCTGTTACGAGTGTGTATGTAATCGACATTCGTAACTGCCCAATATCTGTAAAAAAGAGGTTTATTAATATTTCTCCCAACTTGGGAGTCCCAAGTTATCTAGATTCAAACAAAAAACTTCAATATATTTTTTTTTAATTTCTAACAATTGACGCGTTTCTCGGAAAAACATCATTAGTCCAAAATTAACATATTTGGGAAAATGAAAAAAACTCTCCGACATTCCCATTTTTTACCAAAGTACTTTATTGACCTATTAACTACATGTAAAAAAATGTAAGATACTTCGTCCAGAATTCCTCATGTTTGTTTTTTCAAACGAATATGAAAAAAACACAAAAAATACATGAACATGTGAGGTTTTTAGAAGAAAAAAACGAACAATTCTCCTTACTACAAACACTACAAACTAAATATTAACTCTGAGTAACAAAATAAATGAAAAAACTAAAAACTGTATTACTGCCACACTCAGTCTTCGCATCCACTGCTGTTATCATCGTTGTCGACCGTGTTATCAGGACTGTCAGATGCTATGGTCTTCTGCTCTTTTATCAAGTTATCATAAAATTTTCTATTGCTGTGGTCATGTAAAAGAGGTAGAAGCTTTTCTAGAGTGTCCAAAAATGTCACATGTTATGAACATGTGACTCTCTTAGACGAAACGGAGTGGACTTGTGATGTTTTTAGAAGAACAAGCTAAATTTCATATTTAATTATTATGGAACCTATGACATTTTTACGAGAAACACTTATTTGTATACGTATATATGGAGGTTAGGAAACATTTGGTGCAAATATCTAAATTTTGACGATATTGGACTAATGATGTTTTTCCGAGAAACGCCTCAATTGTTTGGTCATTACTTTAGTTAAACAAAAGTCTAAATACTTTGAACTTAATTTTTGAGAGTGAAAATAGGGTAATAATTAAACTTTGGTTATTATTCTTCTTTGGAATTATGTTTTGAGTAAAGGAAATGGTACAGCAACAAGCTTGCCATTTAACAATTAAAATTATTAAGCGATTACGATAAAATCAATTGAGCGTATTTTGCATATATTGTATTTAGTATATACCTATCGACTGCTATGGCAACAAGATGTAATATAGATGCTGTACAGCACAGGACATCTATTGAAGTCCACATGTCACACAGTTCAGGACCCATTCTCCAGTTATTTGTTATCTGAAACAATTGAAACACTATTAGAAAATTAAGCTTTTAGTTAAAGGCATTATTTAAAAAAAAATACTAAAATTGGAAGGGTGACCGCTTACAAACACGATTGTAAACGTGTCTTGTAATCGAGACTAAAATTTTGATGTTTTTAGCTAAATATCGTCACTTGAGAATTATAGTGTTCTGCATTTTTTTTAAATTGACGTCTTGTTTTAAGTCTTAAAGATGCATATTGTTCTATCTATATATAATTGGGGTAGAAATTGTACAGTTTAAGCCTTAAACTTTACAATTTCTACCCCAATTATATATAGATAGAAAAATATGCATCAATTTAAAAAAAATGCAGATAGAACACTATAATTCTCAGGTGACGATATGTTAAAATGTTTAAATATGATATCTCGATAAGCAGAACACAATGAAAAATAAAAACCTTCTTAATAATGACGACTTGAATAGTTATAAATCTAAAATAACACCAGGTAAAATAATAAACATGAACAAATGAACTTAAAAAGTAGCTTTAATAAAGATGAATACATAAGTGATAAATAATCAAAAAATCAAAAATTACAAGCTTAAATTATGTCAAGCTTAAATACGACAAGATAAAATGATAAAAAGGTTAAATGATGATTTAAAACTACACAAACCTTAAATAATAATAATAATAATAATAATAGACTTTATTGTGTAAGATATATAATACATTATATTTATATACACATTAGGGTGTCCCAAAAAAAAAGAATATATCTTTTTTTCTTGTCTCTTGTAAAAATCTGTTAGTTTATCATGCTGTGAGAGCCCTTTCAAAATATCAGCTCGATTAAAAATTTTGTAGGGGTCGCTCAAGATTTTTAAAAAATTTCAAAATGGTCAAAAATTGAATTTTTGTTTTATTTTAATTCTTTTTCTCGTCTCGATATTATTTTTTAGGTTGAAAATAATAAAAATTCTGTAAATTTCAAATCAATATTTTGATTTCTAAAGGTCGCTAAAAGTTCGTTGATATTTATATTCAGAGGTCGCTCAAAAACATTCAAAATACTCTACTTTGAAAGTTAAAAAAATCTTGAGCGACCTTTAGAAATTAAAATATCGATTTGAAATTTTTAGAATCATTATTATTTTTAAATTAAAAAATAATATCGGAAAGAGAAAAAAAATTAAAATAAAAAAAAATCCAATTTTTGACGATTTTGGTAATTTTTAAAAATCTTGAGCGACCCCTAAAATTTTTTTAATGGTGCTGATCTTTTGACAGGGCTCTTAAAACATGACAAACCAACATATTTTCACAAGAGACGAGAAGAAAAAAAATATTCTTTTTTTTTGGACACCCTAATACACATACATGCAAAATATACAAACACAAAGGGTGTAAGCTCAAGTCTACCGCTTAAACCAAATAATAACATAAATACATACAAAGAATAATATTCTTATTTTATACTACAAACAGTTTAAAAATTCTGAATTCAGGTACATCTAAGATTTAATATATAACTCTTAAAATTACTTTTAAAGACCTTTAAAAGTAATAAGTAAGTAACACCTGTGTTAACAGTCAGGTTTAAATAAATGCATATGTTTATTAGCAATAGAAGCAGCTAAGTACTCAAAGCATTTTTCAAATTTATAGGTTTTGTGGTATGGAATAGAATAAAGATTGGCGTTTCTTTTAAGAATTTAAAAATTTACATTATGTCAATTATTTCTTTTTTCTAAGAGGGACCAAAGGTAGTCTGGTTTTGAAGATTTAATAATATTAAAGATTAAGGTTGCATATTGGCAGTAAAACACATCCTCCATTTTAAGTATTCCATGTATAACATAATACTGTGTTATGTGATCGCTGTACTGAATATTATAGGAGTATCTAAGAAATTTTGAAGTTTTTGTATCAAAGACTTAGTATTTAAATTTAAAATAAAAAATTTCGACAAGCTTAAACAAAGACAAATAAAAAAAAGAAATATCCTAATAAAGACGACTTGAATGGTTATAGAAATGACAAATGACACCAAGAAAAAAAAATAACCAAGTAAAAAAAGTATAAATATCATAACGAGTAGCCTTCATATTGATAAACTAGAAAAATATTATTATTATTTTTATTTTAAAATTTCAGTTAATGTAAATAATATAATTTTATGACAAGCTTGAATACCAAATATACACTTTAGGGAAAATTAGCTTAGCAAGCTGAGCTTTGTGCTCTCTATAGAGGTCCACCTAAACTGGGTAGTAATTTTAAAGATTACTTTTATGTCACATGTCATCTGTCACTTGTTATCTGTTATTTGTCATTTGTCACCTGTCAAATGTCATCTATGATCTGTCAAATTAATATGAAAGATTTTGTAACCTAATTAAAAATGCACAATGATTACCTACTATTTACAAAAATTTATTCTGTCAAGTTAAAATTAAACTAATAGTAACAAAAAGGAACCAAGCGCCAAAAACTTTTTCTGGGCTTGGTAAAATTATTTGTCAAATTATTTGTCAAATTACTCATTATTTGTCAAATTATTACTCATTATTTGTCAAATTATTTGTCAAATTACTCATTACCTCAAAAGGTTGGAACTTTTCTCAAAGCGATTAAGGGGGTTCCCAAATCATTATTAATTTTTTGAGCAGCATTAAAAATGAGTTATTTTGCAAATATTTTTGTTTACCCAAGAAAAGTTTTTGTCGCTTGGTTCCTTTTCGATAAACCCTATCCAAATATTCTTATGCTTAGTTTTGACAAATAAAAAACGCAATAGAAACTTAAAACAACAATAAAACAAAAAATACAGTAGAGGTGACGAAGATTAAATTGTAGAGAATTTTTTGAATTCTCTGTTTTTTTTTCATTGATGTTTTAAGTTTGTATTGCGTTTCTTTTGTTAAAACTAATCATAAGAATATTTATCTCCACGCGGTCTATAATTTAAACTTTATTGTTGTCAACATTCGATAAAGAAATACCTTGTTATGGCCTAGGCCGATAAAAATTTTTATGAGGCAAGTAATTAGTTCGATTTTTTCTCGCTAAGGGTATTGTTTTGACAAATTAATCCTTTTCTAAGAAATTAACGTACTAAACTGGTTTAATTTATTTATAATAAGCACTAATTTGTTTGTTTTACTGTTATAACATTATAATGTTTAATATTTTTCATTAAATTATTGTAAAATTAAATATGAATAATAAAATAAAAAGTGAGGTTAGGACATTGCAATTTGACGTTTCACAGTTGTGTTTTCTTTTTCTACGATTTAAATTATCTTTAAATTTTAATTTGCTTTAAGTTTTCAGTAAAATTAAATGTTAAACACAGCGTAAACATTCCAAACTACCTATTTTTTAATAAAAATGCAAACAAATTGAAATTAGATACCTATTTATTAAACAATTAATTGAATTCAATGTAATAGCAAGAGGGTAAGTAAACCATTTTCTTACAAAAATCCATTTCTACTTAAATCATGTAGCTAGGTATTGTCAAACTATTACTGCTTCTAAAAGGAATAATAATTATTGTACATTTAATGTAATCTTTAGCTAATAAATAAATGAGATTAAAAAAAGTGAGGTTATGCCACTTTCATGTTGAATTAAATTGACCTATATAAAGTGCTTTGAAGATAAAATGTTGTATGCCATTCGGCCAAGAAGTGTCTTTTTGTGCTTCGCTCAATTGTAGGCCTCCGCTACGCGTCGGCCTTCAAACTTTGAGCTTAGCACAAAAAGCCTTACTTCTTAACCTAATGACATAAATAACTATTATATCATGTTATTATTTATTTAATTTTATTTTAATATTTTTTTTCATGGAAAACTTAACAGAATTTTTTTTTTTAATTTACTATTTATAATAATTTATGTGCATTTTTAATTAAGCTATAAAATCGTTCTTACTTAAAATTTTTCAATAAAATTTCGTGTAGGGTCGTTTTGAGGGGCGGTGAATCCAGAGTCGTGCATATATTTTTTTAAATCGCTAATATGAATTTTTTAAAATTTACAATTAAAAACCTTGTTTTTTTCTCAAAAAATACTTTAAGATCTACACTATTAAGATATACACTTTAAAACAAATTCGCTACAAATTGCAAATCAAAATAAATATTTTACAGGGATGAGTCGAAAACAAATGGGTTCACTGTATGATTTGCGAAAAACATTAAATTGACGTTTATTCAAATATCCACCTGATGAAAGGATTTCATTAATAATTTTTTTTTTGTTTGAGAAATTTTTACACAATATGTCAACACCGCAATTAAATTTGGACAAATTTGGCAACCACGCATAATTTTTATTTATATTTTTTTGGATCCCCACATTTATTTGATTTTGTTAATTTTAATTAATAAACTTTTTTTAGTGCCAAACAAAAATTAAACGGACTTTTTGCCGTTTTGTTTTAATTCTATAAATATAGTCTTTTAGTATGTTAAACTGCATTCTTTTACTAATTACTGTTTTTTGTTTGCCCAATTTCATTTTCATTTTGTGGCAAAACATTTTTTAAATTTTTCTAAAAAACCGAAAAAAGAACTTTAGAGAACTGGCCGGTTTTTGATAAAAAACAACTTACCGCTATAAAGCAAGTTTGTCGAAATCCATTTTAATCCTCTTTTTGGGCCCACATGAGGGTGCAGATAATATGACCAAGTTATATTCTAGGAATATATATTTTTTTCTACTCCCACCTTTAAAACGCCATTTACCTTTTAAATACACATTGACAAGTTGTGGCTTTATGGCGCTTTAGTTAGCAACAGGTTTTTGGTAACGGGCTGAAGTTAGTTTTAAGTTAGTTGACAGTTGTCAAATGTCATACAATCGTTAAAATAAATTGCCTTTCTTGTAAAATAATACTAAATGTGAAAATTATTTTATTATCTCAATACAAAAATACAAAAGTATTAAATAGTTTCTCAACGCCAATATGTGAAAAGTTTATATGAACATTTAATTTCGC